GCTGTGGTATATGATATGACTTCATTTGGGATAAAGAATTAAGGTAGGGGGCGCCTGGGTGGCGCAGTCGGTTAAGTGTCCGACTTCAGCCAGGTCACGATCTCGCGGTCCGTGAGTTCGAGCCCCGCGTCGGGCTCTGGGCTGATGGCTCGGAGCCTGGAGCCTGTTTCAGATTCTGTGCCTCCCTCTCTCTCTGCCCCTCCCCCGTTCATGCTCTGTCTCTCTCTGTCCCAAAAAAATAAATAAAACGTTGAAAAAAAAAATTAAAAAAAAAAAAAAAAAGAATTAAGGTAGAAGTAGCAACAGATACTTCAGATTCTCCCAGATTAGCTTCTTAGGTCATGCTTAGTGTGAGAGTCCTGCTGGTAGGGCCATATGCTCTAACTTGTGAGGATTTTGTTGGTGTTACAAAAAATATTAGTTAAAAAACAAGAACTCTTTTATTATATACTAATAGACTTCCCTTGTATTATTACATAAGTGATTTTCTTTTGCTATAATTCATTATTTCCAGTTTGTCAGTACCATTATTAGAGGGACAGAGGAGGTCAACATCCGTTGACCCTGTGTTTCTCTGGAAGTCTGAGCACTAAGGAGAACCTTTTATTTGTAAAATTGAGTTATTACTCATAAGGGTTTTTTACTTTTAAAGTGTATGCAATCATGGCCTGCCATTTTTATAAAAACCAAAGTTGAAAAAAACTTCTGAATCACAGGATGTTTATAGCCATGCATGTATGACTTCAGGCAAGCTGAGGACGTGTCTGCTCCTGAGCCTCTCCTTTTTAAGTAGTGCAGCCACTTGTAGACCCTCTGGCAGCCTACCACTCTGGTTCTCCAGTATTAAGGTAGCCCTGATGCTTTCAAAGAAGCCCTTCCTGCAGAGGACTTGCCAGAGTTTGGCCTGTTAAAACTGCTCGTGGTGAAGGCTCTGCGCCTTATTAGCTTCATAATGCTTTCTCTGCAAGCAAGGATCCTAGACAAATACTTTGATTTCTGGTATTGCTGTCATTATGTTGTGTTTGAAATTCTCATTCCACAATTCCTCTTTTGTTGGAGCCCTGAAGTATATGCCTTATCTCTGTTATTTCTGCCTTGAACAATGAACTTTGCAGTGTTGAAAGGCATCTTTTTATTATGACCCACAGCTAGACACTCCCTTCTCGCTTTCAAAAACTGAAGGCTGCTTATGTTGCATCACTTTTGGGGGTTGCTAAGGTTGTATGGTTTTCGAATGCTTCACATTAAATAATTTTGCTCAACAGTTCTTAAAATTCTGTTAAATACGGTTATATCAGTGTTGAACAAAAAGTGCAATGCATATTAGAGATGTATTGTCTCTTCTGCAGGGACATAGGTATATGTGTTTCATATGCCTATATATAACCCACCATACGTTCCAGAACTGGAAGAATTGCTACACATCAACTGGTTATCCTAATGTCGTGATCATCACTTTAGGCAGTAGCTAATTGTTACCTCCTCTACAATGGGACAGCATTTGTCAGTGTAAGTTAAAAACAAGAAAATTCTAGATTGATAAGAAAGCCAGGTGTTTTCATTTCTCTTGATGTTTTAAAAACAACTGACAGAATTATTGACAGATTTTAAGGGAAATTCATTTAATCTTCTAGGTATATGATGACTTATTTTGAAAGGTGTCTGGGACCTCAATCGGTAATTATCCATTTTCCATTCATTCATGCAATATTTGGTATGTGTTTGGTGCTGGGAATAATGCAAACATAAAAATAATTCAGATAATCTCCATTTACCAAGAGCTCATAGATAGCCACAATACAGTTATACAGCTAAATGCAACCAGAATCGGTTTTTCCAAACTTACTCATCTTTAATAAAAGAAAAATGAAGAAAAACATCTAGAACTTGAACTTATTCATTCATTGCTACATTGTTGGAGGGAACTTTAGAAACACTAGCATTTGGCTTTTTGGGTTGGGTTTGGGAGTCATGAGATGATGGATGGGAACCTGCACCTCTGACCGCAGTTCCCTTTAAGAATTCTATCTAGAAGAGGTGACATCCCATTAACACACTAATAGGATCAGATTAAATGAGATAGGGTTGGGCAAATTTGGAGGGGATGGAAATAAGCTGGTCAAAACTTCCTTTTTTTTTTTTAGAATTATTTTTTTTTCTTTTTAATATGAAATTTATTGTCAGATTGGTTTCCATACAACACCCAGTGCTCATCCCAAAAGGTGCCCTCTTCAATACCCATCACCCACCCTCCCCTCCCTCCCACCCCCCATCAACCCTCAGTGGTCAAAACTTTCTAAGGTAACTGGTTTATTAGGGGCTAGGCCACGGGTGTCTAAACTTGTCTGCATGTTGGAATGACCTAGGAAATTTAAAATTATGTCTATTACTGCTTCCAGAGATAATGATTTAATTGGTCTTAGGGGGAGCTTGGGCTTCAGGATTTTCAAAAATTCTAATTTGAAAAAAATTAGAAACTACCTCTAGCAATAGCATAAGCCCCGGGGTCATCCAGAATTTTTTTTTTAATCAAAGACAAACTATTACTTTTGTTTTGCTAAGAACCACTTGAGGATGGTAGCTGTTAAGTCACAGTGAAATTCACAGAATACTGGAGTTGAAAAGGAATGGAGATCATCTTGAGACTGTAAATGGGCAAACCTTAGTCCATTTATGGCTCCCAGATGTGTTCAGCCTGTGTCATGTACTAAAAAAACCCTGAAATTAGTTGCCAATCCTTGAGAGCTTTCACATAAAAATCTAAATGTTTTGTTTCTTTAAATAATCAGATCTGACAACTCTAGACCTATAGAGCAGCAACAGGCCAGAGCTCAGCGGTGGTTTAGTCGAATAGTTGGGACACCTGCTTTTCCACTTTTCCACTGTCCTCACCAGCTGCACCCTAGTGGGCTTTTGTTTGGATCCGACTCTTCTACAAAACTAAAAACTAGCTTTCTGCACCTTCTAGCCATTTTTCCCAGCTCTGCTCTGTCTGAATGTTCTACAGTTCAATGCCCCTACTTCCTTCAAGTATTCCCTGTGTGGTGTGAGTTCTGGACTCCTCACCATCCTGGTCCCTTCCTCTGGAGACATACTTAGTAATCAGTGCCCTCCTTAAATGGGGTACCAATAGCGAAACACAGCACTTGCAACTGAAGTATTCTGAGTGCAGCTGTGACACTTCCATTGATGAAATCTGAAACACCACTAATTTTTATCAGTGTCATTACACTTTTGGTGCAAGCTGAGCCGATGGCCAACTGAAATCCCTGTCTTCTTTATATGAAATGATAGGATGCCAGGTTTCTCTATCCCAAACTTATACAACCTATTTAATTTAAATGAGGATGTTACATTTATATTATTTAATTGTATCTTGATGGTGCCACTCTGGAATTGTTTTGAGTTGTGACGTTCATCTATTATATTAACAATGTTGGGTTGTTCCATCCTCAGGTCTGATCTTTCTGATGCCTTCATCCAAATCACCGATTTAAAAAATAAAACTGAATAAGAGCCCTATGACATGTCAAGATAGACCAGAATTATAATTTGTTAATCAAAAATTTGTTCACATATCTTAATAGATGTCCAAGTACTACGTACACCATCGAGGCCATACTTTTCTTATCCATGAGGCTGTTACGAACGTCTCTCAGGAACTGATTCATACTATCTATTCTATGTGACCTAGCAATGTTATAGCAATCAAAAGAACTAGGTTAGTGCTTGACGAATCCAAGTGGGTTACTAGCGATTATTTCCTTTTCTAAGTACTTCTAAGCCATTTTGTTACATATAGACATTAAACTTGTCAAAATCTACCCTTTCCCCATTTTGAAAATCAGGATACTAGAAGACACTTATTTCTCGCTGAAGGCTGTCTGGCTACTTAAGGTATGCCAAGTCCTTCCCTTTGAATCTTCACCTGATGGAAGTGGAGACCATAAGGAATTTCTCCTTTTTTTTTATTTATTTTTTATTTTTTTTTATTTTTGGGACAGAGAGAGACAGAGCATGAACGGGGGGAGGGACAGAGAGAGAGGGAGACACAGAATCGGAAACAGGCTCCAGGCTCCAGGCTCCGAGCCATCAGCCCAGAGCCTGACGCGGGGCTCAAACTTACGGACCGTGAGATCGTGACCTGGCTGAAGTCACGCTTAACCGACTGCGCCACCCAGGCGCCCCAAGGAATTTCTCCTTAGGCATAATTCAGGACTCGGGGTCAAGGAGACAAGAGCTCATGCATGTCGAATCAAGAGCTTGCTAACATTAAGAAACCTAGACAGCCTACTAAAAAGGAACAAAGGCAGACATTTCTCTACGTTAAATTTGGTTTTCAACAAAAAAACTAAATTTATAAAGTTTGTTTTAATGTTTATTTTTGAGAAAGAGACAGGGTGTGAGCACAGGAGAGGCAGAGAGAGAGGGAGATAGAATCTGAAGCAGGCTCCAGGCTCTAAGATGTCAGCACAGAGCCCGATACAGGGGTTGATCCCACGAATCTAGAGATCATGACCTTAGCCAAAGTTGGACGCTTAACCAACTCAGCCACTCAGGTGCCCCTAAATTTATAAAGATTTTAAAAAGGAATATTTAGTTAAATATACTTAATGACACTCTTGATCCAGTGACTTTGTTAAAAACAGGCAAAGAATTTTACTTTTTTAATGTTTATTTTTGAGAGAGAGCACACATGCATGTGAGCAGAGGAGGGGCAGAGAGAGGGAGACAGAGGATCCAAAGTGGGCTCTGCGCGGACAGCAGAGACTCCAGTGCAGAGCTTGAACCCACAAACCGTGAGATCATGACTCAAGCTGAAGTCAGAGCTTTACTACGTCACCCAGACACCCCAAAACAGGCAAAGAATTTTAAATAACTTGACCAGTTTGGAAACCACTTGGTATGCCAAGGACATCCTTTTAGAAAACTCCCAAGTTCTTGTGCTCTCTGATGAGCTCTCAAATGCACTTTCAGTCATAGGAAGCTGATCCTCGGAATTATTTTGGGACTCTTCGGAGTTCATTCATGAGCCAAAGGGCAACACTAAGCAGAGCCAGGGAGCCTGACTGGTGAGTGGCAGCCAAAGGAGTTGGAACGTACATTAGCAGAGTGCTAATGCCCAAGCCCACCTGTTACAGAGGAAAGAATGCAGTAAGAAAAGCAGGAGCCACAACTTCAAATGACTGGGCATAGACAACCAGATACATAAATTTCCACATTCTCTCATCAGAACACTAAAAATATATATTTAAGAATTTTCACAAGTAAATATACTCACAACAAAGGAAATTCAAACAAAATAAACCTAATATTCTCTTTAATTATCCTTCACCCTAGCCCAGTTCCCCCCCACCAAGGTAGTTTATCAGTTTCTACACACTTACACTTTTTCATAGATGTTTACAAAAAAACATACTCCTGTACTTTTAAAAATTGGATTGTTCTGCTACTTGCTTTTTTCCACTTAACAACATGCGTCTTGAGATCTTACTATTTTAAACTGCTACACAGTATTCCACAGTATGGGTGTGCCATACTTGTATATTTAGGTTGTTTCCAGCTTTTTACTATCACAGCAATTTTACCATGAGTTTCTTTGTACACTGGAATATTTCTAGGGCAGGAACTAAGAAGTCACTTTTCTGGACCAAAAGATTATACATTTAACATTTTAAAAGATAATGCCAAACTGCCCTCTGGAAAAAACTATACCAACTCATGCTCTCACCAAGAATATATGAAGGTATCCGTTTTCCTATGCCCACGCCAATACCTGATAATCTTAAAAAAAAATTTTTGCCCCAATCTAACAGGCACAAAGTGGCATGCATTGTTTTAATTTGCTCCTCTCAGATCCATGATGCTTCTCTTGGATCATGAATGAGGCTAAACAGCTTTTCATATTTATTGGTCATTCATTGTTCCTCTTATGAGAACTATGTATACTCATATCCTCATTTTATTTTCCGGTTATTAATCTTTTAGTCTATTACAAATATTGAAATCATTTTCTCCTGGCCTGTCACCTTCCTTTTTTAACTTAGTTTTGGAGATCCCTCAGACCAAGAAGAAGTGGTTTATACCTGTGTATATGCCAAAGCTAGCAGAGTCACTGCTGCCATTTTGGTCCTTCGAGGAAGGGGAATTCTCCGGGAGAGGAAGTAGAGCACTGTCACAGCTGTAACTGAAGTGATTCCCTGCAGAAAGGAAGGTATCTCACCAAGTGCCAGGAAGAAATGTCCCACCCTCCTGATTTCTGCTCATCTTACACGTATCTTCTCTACAACCAGTGAGTCACCATTAAGCACTTTCTTATACCAGGCAGAGAACGACCTGCGGCTCCACCTGTGATTACTCCTCAGTCTCCTCCATGTTCTGCTTGCCACTTAAATGTTCATGTTCCCCAAGGCACCTATCACTCTAGACACTCTTACTCTCTCTTCTCAGTGATCCTTTCCAAATTCCAACATGGGTGCGCCCCTCAGGGGTAGCCCTCACTTTTTAAGTCATTCTTTGCATCCTTATGCCTAATTTTATCTCCTCTCGAATCCTGGGGTTTTTTTCTTTCTTTTTTTTTTTAATGTTTATTTTTGAGAGAGAGAGCGTCAGCAGGGGAGGATCAGAGAGAAAGGGAGACACAGAACCCAAAGCAGGCTCCCAGCTCCAAGTTGTCAGCACAGAGCCCGATGCAGGGCTCAAACCTATCAACCGTGAGATCATGACCTGAGCCACAGTCGGACGCTCAACCGACTGGGCCAACCAGGTGCCCCACTAATCCTGTATTTTTAAAGTGGGTCTGACCCCAGCACATGAGGGTTATTCTCCTGGGCTGTGAGTAGAGAAGGTAGTGGTGCTGGCAGCTAGGGCTAAAAACAAGTGAAAGTATCATTTTCCTTCCCGCCGCACTTCAGTAAAGGATTGGCAATAGGGTCTCCTTTCCCACTCCGTGATGTCAAGGAGAATGTTTGTCTATCATTTTTTACATCTATTTCACTTTTCCTTTTCAGAGCTGTCCAGGATGACAATTTCAACGAGACTCTACTTATTACAAAATGTTGGCAAAGAGGCCTGAGCCCACACAAGGTAACTGGCCCAAGTGCCAGTGTTGCCCTTGGGGGTCTGAGTCCTCTGGACCTCCGTCTTTGGGTGTGCTCCAATCACCTCATATCCAGCACACCTTAGTCTGATGACATCCTTCATCTCCAGCCCAACACTCATTCTAGTAGTCCTATTTCTGGGTGTGTTTTAAGCATGCCACAGAATAAACTTTGGGATCTTCTTTACCACCATTACTACAGCCAATCTTCTCCTTAGAGCCTGTTTGTGATCCACTGTTCTCTTCAAGTTCTGCTCCCCCACACAGCCTAGAGCCCCACCACTCTCACCTGCAATACTGCAATGGCACCTCTGCTTCTTGCTGGCCTCCTTGCTGCCAGTCTTTCCTGACTCCAACATATCACGCCCAGCTACCAAGCCAATCTTAACATGACTCATAGCAGGCCCTTAATAAATATCAGCTTAAATAAGATGACAAACATTTTAGCTCCCTGGAGTTTTGGTTCAGCTCTGATAGTTATATGTTCAGCAGCCTATCTTTGCCCTTTCTTCTCTACTTGGCCTCATTTCCACTAAAATGACTCTCCTATGTGTGTGCAAGATTGAGGGAAGTTATCCTTTGCCAGATGGCAAAAGGCATATTCCAACTTTAAGAAGATGGCAGTATCCCAAAAGCCAGAATTTGGCTGGAAGGGGTGTGGGTAATTAGGACAAAAACATCACATCAGAGAACTGGTGCTGAATTTCTCCCAAAAAGAAAAGGAAATCTAGTGCCCACTCTGTTCTACCCTCTCTTAGTGCTGCCATTAGTGCCTCAGACACCCCAAAGGCTGTGAGAGGCTCCCTGTGCTCAGTAGCCAGTAACCAGCAGCCAGACTTACCAGAATCCGGTGATCAAACTGCACCATGGTGGGATTCTCAAAAACATTCCTCAGGATGGGGGAGAGGGTAAAGAGATCCTCTGGGATCCAAGATTCTCCCATCTTCGGGAAGGAATTGTAAACAAGCCCAGCATCCAGCCCTGCCACAAAGGCCCCTATATTCCAAGGCAAATAGTATTTATTTATTTATTTATTTATTTATTTATTTTTTTATTTTATTTTTTTTTCAATGTTTATTTATTTTTGGGACAGAGAGAGACAGAGCATGAACGGGGGAGGGGCAGAGAGAGAGGGAGACACAGAATCGGAACCAGGCTCCAGGCTCTGAGCCATCAGCCCAGAGCCTGACGCGGGGCTCGAACTCACGGACCGCGAGATCGTGACCTGGCTGAAGTCGGAGGCTTAACCGACTGCGCCACCCAGGCGCCCCAAATAGTATTTATTAAAATGAGATACAGAGGAGATCAAATACTAGTTTTGGCATAGAAAAAGTTTATTATCCCAGAGACAGACAAAAAGGAATAATCAGAGAACAAAAAGATCTACAGAAGGGTTTCTAAACAGAGAATATACATCCTAATCACCACAGGAATTTAAAAAAAAACAACAACCCACAAACTGCATCCTCACCTGCTCCCACCCCAAGATTCTGGCATGCCTCCCTTTAAGGAGAGAACTAGAAGCTCTGGAACAAGGCATATTCGATAGAAACATGTTAGTGATTTTGATGCCCTCCTTATCCCACTACGAACCAGATCTATTCGGGAAATGCTTTTCCCCCAGATACCTGCGTAATATACTCCTTCATTTCCTCAGGTCTCCACTCAATATCACCTTATCAAAGAGATCCCCTCAATGATCCTATATAAGACAGCACTTCCCCAACCTCACCTCTATCCCCTTATCCTGCTTTATTTTTTTCTTCATAGCACTGAACACCATCTGCCATATATTTTCACTGTTTATTGCCTGTCTTCCCCAAGTGCTCAAAAAAATGTTGGTTGAGTGAACACAGAAGTGAAAAAAAATTTACAAACTAAATCCTGGATAAACATGTAAAATATCCATGAATTAATAGATGACTGATCCATTATTTATGATAAAAGAGACTTTGTTTTTTTATAAATAGCATTTATGAAGTCAGAATTCATGTTCTTCCACCAAAAAGGAGAGGGGGCACAAATAACTGGTTTGATGGTTTTATTTACAGCAGTGCTACTCAACAGAACTTTCTGTGATGATGGAAATATTCTCTATCTGCCATCCAAAATAGTTGCTAGACACATGTGGCTATTGAGCACTTGAAATGTGGCTAGTGTGACTAAGGAATTAAATTTTAGATTTTATTTAATTTTAATTATTTAAGTTTAAATAGTTGCTACATGACAGATACTGTTCTAAGCACTTCACATCTATTACTTATAGTACACCATCATCTTCATTTTACAAATGAGGTCACTAAGGCCCAGAGAGGTTATACAGCTTGCCCAAGGTCACAGAGTTCATAGGTGGTAAAGCCAGGATTCGAACCTAGGCAGTCTGGATCCAGATAAATGCTCAATATTTTTGTTCAACTGACCGGAAAGCAGGGTTTTTGGAAGGGAGGAAGGAACAGAAAACAGAGGGTGAAGATGGTGGGTATGAGAGAGGCAGGTGTGAAAGGGAAATAGGAAGGTGCAAGAGGAAAGGACAAACTCCCCCCTGGAGTTTGTCTAGAGCCCGTTGGATGAGAAGAGTCCTACCTGAGAGAGCTGTAAGGAACACTAGGCCTGCTGTTCCATGAGCACATCGCCTCAACCACAGAAGCTGACGAGTTTCAGGCAACTAAAGAAGAAAAGCATTCAGATAAACTGTACTGCAAGAACCACGGGAGGCAGCAAAGATCTCCAAGGCCAAAGTCAAGTGACAGTCTGAAGCCTCATTTTCTCTGACTCCCTAAATAGGTTGAGCATTCCCAGCAGATATTCTGTTCAAATATGCATCATATTTTACGATGTTTATACATTTACTATGTCTTCCTTGCTATCCTGTAAGTTTTGTGAAGGCAGGAACTGACATCTGTCTTGCTTGGTGAAGTAATCCTAGCCCAGTGCTCAGTGTGTAAATACTCATTACATATCTGTTCAAAAATGATTTGCATTGCATTTCCCATTGCAAGGGAAAAATGCTTCACCATGTTTGAAATGATGTGGCTTAAGATAGAGGACTAGATTTTCATGTTGTTTATGTATGATATTTAATGCTTTGCAAATATAGTCAGAATCAAAATGCCTAAAGTAGAGACTCTTCCATTTAGTGTTTTGTTAATATAAAAATTTGATTTTATTTTTACTGTAGCCAACTTCTGATACTAATCAGTGAAGCAACAAATATTTATTAAGAACTTTATAAACAGGTTACCATAAAGATACAAAGGAGTTAAGGAGTTAAGTCAGACTACTGTCCTTAAATGGTCTATAATCTAGTACATGAAGAGTGAGATATCATTAGAAAGATAACGTAGGACAATCTATCAGTACTGTCCAATGGAACTTTCTGTGATGATGGAAATGTTCTATAATCTAAGCATGTGGATTGTCTACTGCACCAATGTTTTGACCCCATCTGGCTTCCCTGTGGGGATGACTGCCAAGTCTACAACTCCTCTCCTTGTTGGGATTGAGGCTACTTATTCCAAGTACCTACTGGATAATTCTACCTAAAAGTCCTTTGTCATCTCAAACTTCATTACATGGACAGGTTATCCAGGCCAACCATGATTTTAATACCAAAAATAATAGTCATTTTTAGAAAAACTAGTGTTTTCCTTTGATCAGCATACAAAGAAAATATTTCAGACAAGATCACTATATTGTCAGATTTGATGAATGATAGGTCCCCAACTAAAGAATAAACAGCGCCCATGGCTCCTGTACACCATCAAAGGTTCAGAAACAGCTTCCATTCTGGCCTTCCTCCATCCCTCTGGGAGTCACAAGTAAGGCTCTTGTTGCAACCCCTTCCTACCTTTTCTAAAATTCATGTTTTCACTGTTCCCAACAGGCAGTGCAAACAGAATATTCGGCTCCTGTACTAATTTTCCTTTGAATGAGTTGTTCCAGCTCAAAAGAGTAATGACACATTTTCCTTTGCAGTTCCAAAGCTTTCTAGAATCTCAAAGTTCAATGCTTCTGTCATATTTGATTATATCTAATTTCTGGTAAATCGGTAGATGTTACTAAGGGAATGTGTGCATTTTGATTTATAACTTCCCATAAGAAGCAGAATTTCTGTTCCTGTGACCCTGTCAGCATCTGTGTAGATGTACTAACAGCATAGACTGACTTTTACCTTGTGCTGAGGGAGCAGCAGTGAGAGTGATGTCCACAAGCTGGCACAATAAAGAACAAGGGCTGATCCCAGGTGGGCAGCAAGGCGGTACTGACTGACCCGAGGGATGTCATGGGAGTCTGGTTTTTCTTCTAATCCACTTTTCACCATATACCATCCCAACAGACCCTAGAACCAAAAACAGAAGGGGCAAATAACACACAGCTGGATCTGTCTATTCAACTTTACTATCTGAGAAAGCGAGTTATCAATTATCAGTACTCCCTACCTGACCTCTCCTTTCCATATCTTCCCATATCCCCAGTATCCCAGGAGTCGTAACCTATCCACATTTTCACACATAGCACCACAAATACTTAACCACTGCTTAGATTAACATTTTATTCAAGTATAAGCCAAATACAGAAAAGTACACAAAAGTGTATCTATGGGCAAAACCTTAGAAATACTTGCTATAATTTAATATTATTTAAACCAGTGAACTATAAGAATAAAAAGAGAGTTTTTTCTATACAAACTAGATCATATGCTTTGGAAAAGCTTTGATAAAGATAACTGCTTAATAACAATCATTGTCAAGTTAGTAGGAATAGACAATTATAAAAGTTTTGGGTAGAGGGGAGTAAAAAATTTGTAAGGCTTTGCCAGCAGATTGCTTTGCAAATGTCTAAGTTCCCACTCTTCTTTAAGGAAAATGAAATGAAATAATAGTTTATGAGGATGCAAGAGATCTGAAGTTAAATTCCGATCAGAGGACTTAAAGAACAGGTCTTAGCTCTTCATTTAAAAAAAAAAGTAATCAAAGTACAGGCTTAAGCTTAAAAATGCAAGGTATGTATTATTCTGATTCTCTGCTTAACTTTTTCAATTAACCAAACAACTGTCAGTTTCATTTCTATCAGATAAGATATAGCCCTTTCACCCCAACTCTCCCAAGTCAATAGAAGCATGTCAAGAGGTGGGATTCTCCCACCTCTTCTACATAGCTCTCCTCAGGAAATCTTCTGGGGCATGTCTTTATCCTTAGTGATGACCCTGGATGGTCTAATTATCTTGATTTCATCTGCATAGGACATTGGAAGAAAAGGAGTGTAAAGTGTGATTTGCCAGCCCCACTTTCTTCTTCCCATAACCCCATGTGCCATCTTCAAATTTCTACCACCCTTGGAGTCGATCTTCAGTGGGTTTTTTTTTTTTTTCATTCTAAAATAAACTTTCATTTTGTTTTACCAACCCTTCCCTAGGTCTTAGGGACATTTACTAATGTCTCTTTACCTGTTTCTATTGCCTCTATTTTGTCTCTTCCATCTCCCTCTTTAATTCTTTCTAATTGGTTCATATTCTTACTACTTCAGAGTCAAATTAACCAATTAGCTTCTTCCTGATCAAATTCTGATGTTCCTTTGAGCTCTAAGACTCTCTCTGAGGGCGTAGAATCATGACCCAAATACTCATAAGTACCTTCTCTCATATTCCTTTTCTTGGCTCTCAGTCTCAGTCTCACCAAACCCTTAACTGTGGGAGCTTTCAAATTTGCTTCTTTAGCCATTCTAGCACAGAAAAGCCATAGAGCAGACAAGTGAGAAAAGGGGAGGAGAAAAGAACCCAGGAAGAGATCCATGACAGGAAAGAAACTCTTGTGACACAAAAATATATTTACTGAGTGCTTACTAATTCCAGGAACTAAACTAAGTATTGTATATGCATGATCTATCTCATTTAATAGTCACATAAGTCAACCAGTAGGCACTATTATTATCCCTATTTACAGGTAAGGAAAGCATAGCCTACCGAAGGTAGACAACTTGCCCTACTAAGTGGCAGCTGGGCCACGCTTGTAACACTAAAATTCATCCTCTTACCCACTCTGTAATACAGATTCAGATTCTTTCCTTAAAAACAATACCAACCAGGAAGCTCCTGGAAGCATCTCTGGTTTCCCAAACTTGAATAAATCTCACCTGGAAGCAGACTAACCCACACAGGGCAAGAACACGTCCTTTCATGCCACGGCTGAGCCAGCCTTTTCTCCAAAAATAGGCAGCAGGCAGGATGTATGTGAGGCCCACAAGGCGACCCCACATTCGATGTGAGTACTCCATGTACCAGATGAACTTGAATTCGGCCAGTGTCATATCATGATTCAAGCTGGGAGGAAGGGAAGTCAAAAAAGAAGAAAGAGGAAACATCCATCTGACTGTTATTTACCGAGAGAATGCAGGAGCATTCTCAGTTTTGAAGCCTGAAATGAAAGGTCTGCCTTCTTCCTCATCCGTGACCCCAGGATCACTCTGGAACTGGAGGTTTAGAGTAGAAAGCTCACTAAACATAACTGGAGCAAATATCAATAATGGAATCTAACCATTCTGAAATGCTGAAATACGCAAAAGATTGAGAAGGCCTAGTGGGGCGTTTACCTGATTTTCTATAATACTTACATTTTAAATTCTGGAAATTGCTGATATTTTTGGAATTCTGCTTCCCATTCCTCTTGGTGTGTAGGTGGCTTCATCTCCTTTATTAAATTCCAGTCTACCATTGAGAGGCCAGACTCTGTCAACCTTAAGATAGGAAAGAAATGGTGTGTGCACACATGCACGGGTGCCCATGCAATGCTGGATTTCTCATGAACAGTTAACAGAAACGGGGATCTGAACTTAACCCCTCTAAAGGTAAACACAACATTTCACTATATCCTTTTTTGACACCTTGCTTTCTTCTTACTGCTTAAAATTTCACCAGAAAGAGCTGCCATCAGGTACACATTTCTTATTCTCTCAATCCTTTCATTCAACTCTTTACCTCTTTCTTTCACTAACATTCCTTAACAGGTAATATCAACCCTTACACCCAAGAAATGTGCCCTACATGGATATGAGACATTATTTACACAGGGAAAAGAGATTTGTTAGATATAAAACAGTTTAGATTCTTGAGTGAATTTAAAGCTAATAAAATTCAAATGTGTTGCAGTTTCCCATAACGGCCTATACAACATATGATATTTTGAAATAAGGGTACAGGGAATGTGGAGGAAATCTGAGCAACACATACTGTATTAACACCAGAAGGTATTTTCACCAAAAGGAGCAAGGATTCCTAAGGTAAAAGGCTGATTTTAGGTCAGAGGCAAGAAATGTAGAAGATGAACCTGGAACATCATATCCAGAAAGCAAAGAATTAAAGGTTACTAGTACCCTGTCAAAAAAAAAAAAAAACCCTGGAGACAATTTGAAGAGGCTCCCATTGACTAAAGATGGAACAATCTGAGCACACCATCAAAGCAATGGATTGAAACATCAAACACATTTAAACCGATGAGCTCATAATATGTAAAAAACCAAAAACTTTATTGATCACCTTTGGAGGATGCTTGGGAACCAATTTATTATTTTCAGAATTGGTAAATAAAGGGAATTTATTTATCCTGCCTTTCCTATACAAACTGTACAAACAGTACCTTAGGATAACCAAACTGTTGATGAGAGAAAGTTCCTCTTTAGAGTTGAGCTAATAAATTATTAGAATTTTGCAACTGTAATGAAATCATGGATCTAGGCAATGATAATCAATGGCTGTTGGTATCTCTAATAGACACCAGATATTTATGAATGTTGTAATCACCTATGAAGGATTTTGCCCCCTGCTCCCATCCTGAATCTGATCAAGCAACAACCCATTTACAGGAAATACAGGGGATAAGAGAACATGTTAAACGCCACCACAAGTATGCAATCAGCAAAATCCAGACTGTGGGAAACTCCATATGACAAATCAGTTGGGTTTCTTTAATAGCAAAAAAAAAAAACAAAAAAAAAAAAAAAAAAAAAAAAAAAAAAAAAAAACAAAACTACAAAGAATGGGGGAGGAAGGGAGAAGAATCTAAATCTATAAAATCTCTTTATAGATTTAAAGAGACCTAAGAGGCATATGAACCAATTGTGATACATGGAACTTATGTGGATTTAATTCAAACAAACTATACAAAAAAAATTTTGAGACAAATTTGAAAACTGTATGTAGAGGGAAAATACATAAAAACAATGCATATCAAAACAGTTAAGACCTAAACAAGTCTTTATGAAGGGCTCCTAATAATAAAACTCTAGATTGTTCTATAGCAGGGCAAGTCATCCGACATGTCCCTCTGCATATATAAAATGAGGGAGCTAGACTAGATGATTCCTAAGGACTCTTCCCCCTTAGTCATTCCATGTTTCTACTGATGACCCAAATAGCTGACTCTCGCTATGAGCAAATTACTCACCTAGTCATTCCACCAAGAATAACTGCTCCAGCCACTGTTCCACTGCAGACCAGGAGCCATCGGCCCACCACCCGCTCAGCAGCTTTTGAGGGAAGGGACACTGTACCCCTTCCAGACTGCAAAGCTACTTCAGAGATGGTGCTGTATTGCCCTGGCCTTAAGAGGTGCCTGATCCCACAGCTGCAACCACACTAAGGATCAAGACAGACAAATTACAACTGGAGACAGAGGGAAAGGCCTCAGTCCACTACTCTCATACACAATCCCACTCTGTCTAGAGTGGAGTACCCTGTACAGTCACATCTCCACCGCTTCTGCTCTAGTAAATCATCATCTCCTATCCAAATACTGCATCCACATCCCCCTTCACCCCCCCGCCACCCCCGCACCTGGTTTTCCTGCCTCTAGTCTTGCCTCACTCCAATCCATCCCCATACCACATGAACCTTCTAGTCTCAGCATGCTTCCCCCAGACTTAACTCCACACCTAAATATGGATTTTCTTTCTCCTGTGGGAATTTAAACATGACTTCTCTGACTGGGACGCTCCTTGTTGTCTAATTGGTAACATCAACTATAGATCTTAGTTTAGTTGTCACTTCCTCTGGGAAGTGTTCCTAGACTCTGCCAGGTCTGCAACAAGTCGTTCTCACACTACACTGTACCTCCCCTATCTCAGCCCTTAACACATTGCAATGTACTTCAGGTTCATCTGTCTCTACCAACCACTAAGCTAGGAGTGTGGGACAGCAGCATCTGGTCGGTCTGGTGCTTTCCCTCCTGCAAATTTCATTTCTAACACATTCCCTTACATAACAAGATCTTAATAAAGATTTGACAAATGAATTACAAGCGAATTAACTGTGCCTTCCTCTAGGGTGGGAGACTTTTGGTATTTATCTTTCCTAACACATAATAATCACTCAATAATTATTTGTTGAGCAAATAAACACCCTCTTCTGATTCTGTCCCTGAGTCCAAAGGTTCGTGTTCTGTTTCCTAACTTTAGACAACTTAAATTAAGCCTCAATTTCCTTCTCTGTAGAATGGGATTATAGTTCCATACCTGACTACCTGAGGGCTTTTAGCAAACCTCAAATATATAGGTAAAAATTACTGAGCTTTTACTATGTGCTAAGCGCTTGCTGTATAGGAAATTATTCAATCCTCCCCAGAAACTTATGAAGTAGGTATTGCAATTCCCATTTTACAGACGAAAAAACTAAGGGACAGAAAGGTTACCTAACTTGGCTGATATCACACAGCCAGTAAGTGGCAAGTCCAGATCTTTAACTCAGGGACTTTGGGCACAAAGAAATGCGTTGTGAATTCTAAGGAACTACGTCAATGTGATGTCGAATTATCTATTATTTTTCTCCTGACTCTTTCGCCCCATGTCCGATTCCGCGATTGAGTCGGCTGCGGTGCGGTACCTGCGTTCTAGGCGCCGCCCTAGGACCCAGGAGCCGTAGGCACGGGTTCCCCATCAAGGCCTTCAGGCGCGGAAAGAGTAATCTCTGCATACTGAAGACAGTGTAAGGAAGCCACCTCCACAACCCAGCACTCTGTGGTCTCCTTTCACCGCCGCCGAATGGAGAAACACATCCGGGTCATGCAGCGCGAGCCCCTCCTTCTCAGAAGACAGGGGCGAGTAGTGACTGCGACTGCGCCAGACACTCGTCTTTCGCGGGGGCTGCTGGGTCTGGGTGTCGGAGACGCGCCGGGGTGCGCGCAATCATCAGGCCGCGCTTCGTTGGGCGCGCGCGCCGGAACCCAGACCCTGAGTAGAAATCGAAGACACACGAGGGAGGGACGCGTCGAGCATGAAGAGGCAGGGGACCTCCTCGGAGCGGAAACGGGCGCGCATACCGTCCGGGAAGTCCGGTACAGAAGGGGGCGGGGAGGGGGCGGTCGGCCGCTTTCGCTGTCAGGGGCGGGCCTGCGGGAGTTCTCTCGGAGTCCTTTCCCCGGCTTCTCACATCTCTCAGCGCGGCAAGTTCTGTCGTTCTGGCTTTAAACGTGTAGAAGCTGAGGGCCTGAGAAGGGGCTTGTAGCGAGAGTGACGCGGCTCCGGAACCAGATGTGTGGGTTTGCATCCCGGCGCGTCTAGTGTGCGACCGTGTTCAAGTTGGTTAACTTCTTTCAGCCCCACGTTTCCCGTCGCCACGCGAGGCTGCGAGTCCCCACCCCGTGGCAGCGCTGGGACTGTTAGCTGTCCAGCGCTGAACACAGCGCCTCACCGTGGTGACCTCTTAGTAACCTGTAGCTGCTGCGGCGGGGGTGAGGACTGTCCCCAAAGCCGCACCGCTGCCAAGCGCCCGAGCTTGTGGCTGCCCCACGTCCCGAGTTCTTGCTGCTGCGCCAGGCAGGGTGGCGTAGCAGGTGCTGGGGAATTTGGCAGATCCTCCGCCTCGTGAACTCTCGGTTCCTCCAGACCAGCGGTTCTCAAGCTTTTTGATCTCAGGACCCCTTTCCCCTCCTGAAAGTTATCGAGAACCTTAGAGACCTCTCATTTATATAGGTTAAATCTATCCGTATGGACCGTATTCGAAATGGAAACATTTTAAAATGCTAATTAACTGGAAACCCATTACATGTTAACACCAATAACATCTGTGTGCGTGTGTGAAAAATATCTTCCTAACAAATAGAATGCCAGTATTTTATATTTTTGCAAATCTCTTGAAGATCTGGATTAATGGAATTGCTTCTGCTTTCAGTCTGACATGTCAGGTAGCCTCTTGAAAATTCCACTCCACTTGTGAGAGAATGAGAGTGAACAAGGCAAATAAAGTCTTAGCATTATTATGAAAATACTTTTCACTGCACAGACTCTGAGAGGGTCTTAAAGGCCCCCAGAGGTAACTGGACTACCACACTTTGAGAACTGCTGCTCCAAACAAATGTCTTTGATTCCCACAAATAACTTTGTTCCTGGACAGCTGTCATAGCCTTGTGTGTGCGCCTCCACCAACTCCTGGCCAACATCCTTTCTCCTGGGAGGCAAATGGTACCCCAGCTGCATTGTCCAGTCAGATTGATGTGACAGCTGGTCTGGGTGGCTATCAGGAAACTCTTGGAATGAATGCAGTGCTATTGGTTAGGAACATAGTGTGGCACTTAACTCTTTCACAGCTTGAGACTGATCGTCTTCTTTTACATACGTGAGACCTTTGCAATTTGATGTAAGCAGATGATAGATTTTGGTTTTTCAAATAAAATAGCCTTTTTTAAAACGATAAAAGCAATATTGGCTAGGAAAAAAAGCAACATAGAAAAGTAAAAAAGAGGAAAGTAAAAGTAATTCCAAATCTGCTACCTAGTAGTAACCACTATTAGTATGTGGTGCACATTCTTTCAGGTCTTATTGCATGAAGTGTACATTTAATATTCTGAATTGTAAACAAAAACAATGTGCTTCACTTACAGAAAAACTCAAAACTTTATTTTCATCACACTTGTAGTGTAAATACATGGTTGAAATTTATGAATTTATAATTATTCAGCCTCTGGTAAATCTTTGCATGACTGTTGTATACCAGGGTGGACACTGTGCTTGCTATGGGTGATGATAAAGATTTCTCACATAAAGACTTTATTTAGGAACTTTAAGTCAACGAAGAGTGAACAGACACTTCTCTATATACATAATAATAAGAGGTAGAAAGTAATTAGTGTTTTAAAAAGGTACAGTTAGTTTTTAAAAAGGAACACATAATCTATGAAGAGTTATATGAGTTCAAAAGAGGGAGATACAATTTCCTACTTTGAGAGAGGGGAAATATGGAAATGTGATTTAATGTGAGTCTTGGAAGATTTTACCATTCAACAGTGGAGCTGGCACGGCTTTGTGGATTGAAGAGATGGCCATAATCAAGAGCAAGGATGGGAATTGGGGGGAACTGGAGGTATATAGAAGAAAGAGTATGTAGTTTATTAATGATAACTGTTTTTGAACACACAGTGAGTACTCTCCAGTTTACATGAATTATTTAGTGCTCACTACTCTGAGGTAGGTACTAAAGCCTATTTAGGCTAAGTAACTTGTCTAGGGTCACACAGATGAGTAGTAGGGCCAAAATTTGAAGTCCATCCTTTTTCTTAAACATGATCTTTATAAAAACGTTTAAACATATTCTGAAAATGCTGAGAAATATCAAAAACAATCTAACTTAGAATGTGATGATGAGGTCAGTGCTTTAGGAAAATTAATTTGGCATTCAGTGTGTATTTTCCTCGGTGTAATTTCTTATACATATGTTTGTATACTTATTTCACAGTTTGGAGACATCAGTTTAATAATCAGTATGCTGTTGGGGCACCTGGGTGGCTCAGTCAGTTGAGCGACCCACTTTGGCTCAGGTCATGATCTCACGGTTTGTGGGTTTGAGCCCCGTGTCAGGCTCTGTGCTGACAGCTCAAAGCCTGGAACCTGCTTCGGATTCTGTGTCTGCCCCCTCCCCTCTCTCAAATATAAATAAACGTTTAAAAAATTAAAAAAAAAATCTGTATGCTATTTTATTGCACTCATGGTCTCTAGTATACTTACCTACTTGGATTATTGGATTTGGACATTGGGCATTGTATTTTGGCAGCAAAATATAAAATAACGGTGGTAGATTGGTCTGGATGGATAGTACCATCATGAAATTACATTGTTCTCCGTGTATTTTAGGAGCAGCAAATGGATTTCTCATGGAAGTGTGTGTTGATTCAGTAGAGTCAGCTGTAAATGCAGAAAGAGGAGGTAAGACAAAAGAGAATGAATGACAGTTGGCAGTCCCTGTAAGAATCTGAAAATGAATCCTGTTGAACTGATCTTGGGAGCCGTTGTGATTACTAAGGATCCTAGTAATCTTTTTGAAAACAGCCAACCGACTGGAAAACATACTGGAAAATTATCATCTTCTAATCTTACTCCTCCAGTAGATCACATTTTGAGTCAAGTGTCTACAGTAGTGCTTACTCACCAACTTCATTTTTTTTAATTGAACTTAGCAAAGACTTCATTTTTTTTCAAACTATTGATTTAAAGATGATTTAAGAGATTTGCTTCCATTTTCATCATCGAGACTTTTATCATTATCTCTTTTTTAAAATTTTTAAAAATATTTATTTATTTTTGAGAGAGAGACAGAGCACAAGCAGGGGAGGAGCTGAGAGAGAGGGAGACACAGAATCTGAAGCAGGCTCCAGGGTCTGAACTGTCAGCACAGAGCCAGATGTGAGGCTCAAACTCATGAACCAAGAGATCATGACCTGAGCCGAAGTCAGAAGCTTAACCGACTGAGCCACCCAGACGCCCCTATCATTATCTTTTTTTTAACATTATTTTTACCTCAAAGTTTCTTTTGTGTTCTGAACCTGCTTTAATGGGAAGCATAGAAATTCCCATAATCCCTGGGGGGTGCCTGGATGGCTCAATTGTTTAAGCATCCAGCTCTGGATATCTGTTCAGGTCGTGATCTTGTGGTAGTGAGATCTAGCCCCACGTGGGGCTCTGCACTGGCAGCATGGAGCCTGCTTGGGACTGTCTCTCTCCCTCTTTCTCCCTGTCCTCCACTCATGCGTATGTGTGCGGACGTTCTCTCTCTCTCTCTCAAAATAAATAAATGCAAAAAAAAAAAAAAAGAAATTCCCATCATCTTAGGATCAGAAATTTTTAAAAACATTTTATTATGGAAAATTTTAAACATATACAAAAGTAGAAGAGTATAATGAATCCCCACATACCCATCACTCAGCATCTACTATTTTCAGCAAGTGCCCAATCTTTCATCTATATGGGAATCAGGATACTTTTTGTAAAGAGCAGCATAGTATATATTTTCAGCTTTGCTGGCCGCATTTGGTCTTGGTTGAATATTCTTTTATATATATATATATATATAATCCTCTGAAAATGTAAAAACCATTCTTAATTTGGCAATAACGAAGAGTGAAATGCTGATACATGCTACAACATAGATGAATCTTGAAATTACTCTAACATTGCAAGTGGAAAAACATTAAGTGGAAAAAAGTCACAAAATACCACATGCTGTATGATTCCACCTATATGCATTTTCCACATTGGTCAAATTTTGGAGAAAGAAAGTAGATTAGTGGTTGCCTAAGGTTTGGGGGCGTGGGAGAAGGGGAGGTAACTGCTAAAGGGTATGAGGTTTCTTTTTGGGGTAATGAACATGTTCCAAAATTGTGTTGATGGCTGCCAAACTCTATAAGTATACTAAAAAATATTATATTGCACACTTTATTTCTTTTTTAATTTTTTTAATGTTTATTTATTTTTGAGACAGAGAGAGACAGAGCATGAATGGGGGAGGGTCAGACAGAGAGGGAGACACAGAATTGGAAACAAGCTCCAGGCTCTGAGCTGTCAGCACAGAGCCCAATGCGGGGCTCGAACTCACAGACCACGAGATCATGACCTGAGCTGTAGCTGGACCCTTAACCGACTGAGCCACCCAGGCGCCCCATATATTGCACACTTTAAATGGGTGAATTGTATGGTATGCGAATTGTGTGTCAGTAAAGATTTTTATTTTTTGAAAAACACATACACAAACATTTTTAACTTCTAGGCCATAACAAAAACAAGCTATGGGCTTTTTGCCTGCAGTAGATTCAGATATTGTTAGCCTGATCCATCCTTTATAAGGTTTTCTTTCAGCTTTTCACCTAATGATTTTAGCAGTGCCTATTTTAGTAGGGTTTGAAAAATGGTACTATAGTAATTCTAACATTTATTTACTTTTCACTTATTAGAAGTATGCTTCTATAAAGAACTTTCCTTCATCAACTGTTTGGTTATATTGGGGTTCAGTTTCTATAAGAAAGGCAGCAAATGCTTGCTCTTTTTCTGCTGTTTACTGATTTTTGGGTAATGAGTTTATTTTCTATCTCCCAATGAATTGTTTTATCAATATGAATCTAGATTTAGACATATTTGATGTGTTTTACTCCATTATGGTTTTTCTTACTGATGCTCAAAGTGTCCCCTGTTTGGCTGGTATGAGCCTTTTCAAGCTGGATCCTGAGACTCTTTTGACATGATGCTGTAGTCCGATAGTTGATTTGCTTTCAGCATTCTCTTATTCTTGAAATTATCTTGATTTAAGCTACTTAAAATTATCTTATACTTTTTTAAAGCTTAGACACTCTTCACAAAGATTGTTAATATCAATGAAGAGTCAGTGTTCCACTGTGATCAGTCCAGAAACTTATTTATTGTAAGTTACATCCCTATTCATGGAGAGGCAACCTTCTAATACAAATTTTCAGGAGATCTAGCTTAACTTGAATTAACTCTTAAATTTGACTATCAGTAACACAATATGGGTTGCAGAATATAGTTGGGATTAAAAATAGAGTGTTATTCTGGTTTTATAATATGATTTCTCTCAGTTTCTAAGAATCTTTGCTATATTTTAGAAAAAAGTGTTAAGTTTACTGTTTCATAAATGTTTACTTTGAACGATAATTTTTGAGCAATGCTTCTTAAAACTGTTCTTAATTTTTAATTTTTAAAAGTTTATTGTATTGAGCAATGCTTTTTTTATTATTATTATCATAGGTGCTGGTCGGATTGAATTATGTTCTGGCTTACTGGAAGGAGGAACCACACCCAGCATGGGTAAGTGTCTGGTTTTCATATTTTCTAGGAGGAGTTTATAGAGCCCAGAGACAATGGGTAATATGTTTTATTGAGATCTTTTACTAATGTTACTAATGTGTTAACTATGCTGTGGATATTGTATGAGTTAGAAATGCTTATGCTTATGAATAAATCTATCAAAGATGTGATCCTCATACAGTACATCAAAAAGTTGAGAGATAGGTAGTTACTGTTAATATTGGTTTAGTTGCTCTGCAGTAATATCAAGGGCCAGGGTTTTTTTTCTTTTCTCTTTCCATCCTGGCATCCTTAGCATATTGACTTTTGTCTTCATTTCTTCCCTCCTGGTCTTTTTGCTGTTGTCATACATCTATCTTACTGCTATCTTCTATCTATGTTAAAAATACATACACTCCACACTACTTTTTGTTTAAAAATTCAATTATCTCTTAAAGAGAATAAAAGAGAAAACAATCAGTGTAGTTACTATTTCTGGTGTTCTTCATTCCTTTGTGTAGGTCTGTGTTTCCATCTGATCTCATTCTCTTTCGGTCTGAAGTAATTGTTTTAACAATTTTTTGTATTACAAGTATGCTGGTGATGAATTCTTTCAGCTTTTGTATGTCTCAAAACATCTTTCTCCATTTTTGAAAGATGTTTTTGCTGGGTGTAGAATTCTAGGTTGACGGTTTTTTTTTTTTTTTTTTTTTTTTTTTTTTTTTTTCTTTCAGTACTTTAAAGATATTTCTCCACTGTCTTCTTGCTGGTGTTGTCTTTTGTATGAAATCTGCTATCATCCATACCTTGTGGATTTTTGGTGGTGGTTTTTTGTTTGTTTGTTTGGTTTTTTTGTGGTTGCTTTAAATTTTTTTTTTTTTATTTCTGGATTTCAGCAATGTAATAACAATGTACCTGACTATAGTTTTCTTCATGTTTCTTGGACCTGTGCATTTATAGTTTTCATCACATTTAGAAAATTTTCAGCATTCAATATACTCTACCCCCAAAGATGTCACATACTTGTTTTAGGCTGCTTGAAGTTGTCCCACAACTCACTGATGAACTATGTTGGGTTTGTTTTCTTTTGTTTTGTTTTTTTGAGACAGAGAGAAAGTGTGAGTGGGAGAGGAGCAGAGAGAGAGGGAGACACAGAATCAGAAGCAGGCTGTCAGCAAAGAGCCTGACATGGGGCTTGAACTCCTGAACCATGAGATCATGACCTGAGCCAAAGTCAGGCATTTAACCAGCTGAGCCACCCAGGCGCCCCTCTCTTTTTTTCTTTTTAATCTCCTTTTTCTCTGTGTTTCATTTTGCATAGATCCTATTGGTTTGTTTTCAAGTTTACTAATCTTTTCCCTGCAATGTCTAATCTGACATTAATCCCACACTGTGTGTTTTTCATCTCACACATTATAGTTTTCGTTTCTAGAAGTTTAATTTGAGGCTATTATATCAAGTGTGTTGTTTCTGAACTCTTTTGAACATTTGGAGTAAAGTTATAGTAGCTGTTTTAATGACTTGGCTGCTAATTCTAACATCTGTACGAGTTCTATGTTGGTTTCATTTGATTGGTTTATCATCTCATGATGCATCTTGTGTTCCTGCCTGATAATTTTTTATTGGCTTCCAGACATTAATTTTATTTTGTTGGGTCCTGGATATGTTTGCATTCCTATAAACATTCTCAAGCAGTTACGTTATTTGGAAACAGTTTATTCTTTTTGGGTCCTGGCTTTAAAGTTTGTTAAGCAGGTCTGGAGCAGTGGTCAGTCTAGAGTTAACTATTCCCCACTACCAAAAGCAAGAACCTTCTGTGTTCTCTATCCAGTGCCCCACGAATCTTCAACTTTTCCTATATGCCTGTTGGGAATAGGTGTTATTTTTGGTGCACCAGGTGTGAATGACAGGCACTATTTCTTTCTAATTCTTTTCAGTGGATTTTTTCCCCCTGGCCCTTGTATGGTTTCCTTGCATATATGCACTCATCACTACTGAGCTGAATATTAGAAGGGGATTCTCTTCAAATCTCCAGATTTCTCTTTCTCTTCCCACTGGTACTTTCTCCTGTGAACTCTAGTCATTTGGTCTCCCTGGACTCTCAGTTTTGTCTCTTCAACTCAGAGAATTCTCTGACCTCCACCTAGGTTCCCCCTTTCTATACTGCAGCCTAGAAAACCCTCAAGGTAATAATTTGGATCAAATAAAGAGCTTATCTCGTTTGTTTCCCATCTTCCAGGCATCATTGTTCTTTGTTGCTTGACATACAGTGTCTTTCAAACCATTGTTTCATATATTTTTCATATTCATATGTGTTTTTTGGTTATTATAGGTAGGAAGATAAATCCAGTTCCTGTTACTCTGTCCTGGTCAAAAGCAGAAGTCCCTGTATGAATTTTTGACTCTTCTATGTTACTCTGAGGTTGATGATAGCATTATTTAGTATAAAGGTTTATATGTGCTGTAAACCTTTGGAATCTTCTCACTAAGGGAGGGCATTCCCTGGCCATTCTGTGAAATCTCCAGACCATCTCTAAATTTGAATGCAATCTGTTCTTTGCAATCGTAATCATGATTCATTGCTTGGTGCTGGGCATATTGCTATTCCATGCAAAATTGGGGATCTTTTAGCAAGGAAAAAGAAGTAAGTTCATAAACACAATGGTGCTTGTCACAGAAATTATACAAACGGTTCCCAACAGATGATGGTTTGGCTTATGATTTTTTGAGTTTGCAATGGTGTGAAAGTAATATGCATTCAGTAGAAACTGTACTTTGAATTCTGAACTTTTCCTAGGCTAGCCATTTGTGGTATGGTACTCTCATATGATGCTGGGCAGCCACAGCTCCCAGTCAGCCATGCGATCACGAGGGTAAACAGCCAATAGACTTAAACCATTCTGTACCTATGTAACCATTCTGTTTTTCACTTTCAGTACTGTATTCAATAAATTACATGAGATATTCAACACTGTATTATAAAATAGGCTTTCCATTGGATGATTTTGCCCAACAGTAGGCTAATATAAGTGTTGTGAGCGTGTTTATGGTAAGCTAGGCTAAGCTATGATGTTCAGTAGGTTAGGTGTAATGAAGGCATTTGGATTTAAGATCTTTTCAGCTTAAGATGGGTTTATCGAGATATAACTAACACCAGTCATGGAAGATATATACTATTGAGGTTTCTGAATTAGTCATGAATTGTGTCATATTTAGGTGTTTTTGTTCATAGATCTCTATATAAAATCACAAATAAGTAGAACTTTGCTTCCTTTTACATAACTCTTTGAAAAAAAGGCTTTAATTAATTTCTTTGTTCCTAAAGGATCATAAACTTTAGAACTATGTAAACATCTCTATAGTAGGTTCTAAACAGAGCTGTAATCAATTAGAAAGGAAACATTGGATTTTATGGAATACACTGGCAGAATATTGAGCCTGTTACTTCACTTTCCAGTGTTACATACCAGCAAAATGATTTTTCTTTAGTCAACTGACAAGTGCTTGTAAAAATTCAGTAAATTTTTTCTGTTTTCTAAATTGCTCTTTTTTACCCTTGGTTTTCTTATTTAACTTCTATTATATGCACATTTTTTAATTTAGGGTTGTCATTCCCTTTAGATCTATCTCTGGTTGCCTCAGTCATTGCTTCCTTTTCTTATAGAAGTGATACACAAGAGCTAATAAATTTTATTGACTTCCTAGAGATGTTAGTTCACATTTGAATTTTAATTAGTCTGCTCTCTATATTCTTTTAGGTGTCCTTCAAGTAGTGAAGCAGTGTGTCCAGATTCCAGTTTTTGTGATGATTCGGCCGCGTGGAGGTGACTTTTTATATTCAGATCGTGAAGTTGAGGTGATGAAGGCTGACATTCGTCTTGCCAAGCTTTATGGTGCTGATGGTTTGGTATTTGGAGCATTGACTGAAGATGGACACATTGACAAAGAGTTGTGCATGTCCCTTGTGGGTAAGAATTTGTATCTGAGACCAAAAAGCCTCTAATGATGATTGCGTTGAATACTTCTGATATTGAAACTAACATAACATTGTGTGTCACTGCAAGTAAAAAAAAAAAACAATGCAATTGCAAAACTGACTTTTCAGTCACACCTGCAGGCACTTATACTGACCTATTTTAAACAGTTATCTAGATGTCTGGGGCAGATCTAGGTATATGTTCTAGTCCTACTGACTCCTCAGTTGTTATAGATCAAGTTCTGCTGCTTTTCCTGGAAGGTTTAAGGGAAGTTTGCCTCGATTCCTTTAACCACTGCACCAAACACTTCAAAGGCTATTGCAGTTGTTGAAGATGGGGAGATGTGGAGAGGACAGAAGCATACTACTTATAATTCTAGGCCAAAGTATTTCTTGAAGATTCTCAGAGGGATAAAAGTAATAGATGTAATGCTGCCTTTATAAATAACCAGATCGCATAATTTTTATTTAGTCTGGCTAAAGAATGGATGACCATTTTTTTCTTTTAATGAAAATCAGAGATTAATGGAAACATAAGAATTCTGAATTTGGAAGGCTGCCATTTTATTATCTTAGTTCACTGTCTTTGCTTCTTAGGAGAGGACAGTATAAAATAAAAGTCCCATCTAACATGGAAAATTCTATATACACCAACCAGTGACGATCTCTTCATTTATATTGTTATTTGACTTTATTTTTGTAGCTATATGCCGTCCTCTGCCAGTCACTTTCCACCGAGGTGAGTCATTTCCATTTTAGAAGTTCTTTTGAACGGTGTCAGTTTTCTAATTTTACCAAATGCCATAACTTTTTTATGGAACACATAAAGTGTTACAGTGTTACCAGTTGGTTTCTTTATAACTGTTATAAATTTAGAGATGCACAATTTGAAACTTAGTTATGAAAACTTGTTAAAAGTAAATGCTGGTGTGGTGGGATATAATAGAGGGAGAGAGTGGGAATTGTCTACAAGTGTATGTACTTGTCACAGCATTCCAAGCAAGAATCCTGAGATTCATTTTTTATTAGATGCCTTAGATCATGTGCAACTCCCAAAAGAATAAAGTGCTGTGGGGCGCCTGGGTGGCCCAGTCGGTTAAGCGTCCAGCTTCAGCTCAGGTCACGATCTCTCAGTCCGTGAGTTCGAGCCCCGCATTGGGCTCTGGGCTGATGGCTCGGAGCCTGGAGCCTGTTTCCGATTCTGTGTCTCCCTCTCTCTCTGCCCCTCCCCCGTTCATGCTCTGTCTCTCTCTGTCTCAAAAATGAATAAATGTTAAAAAAAAAATTAAAAAAAAAAAAAGAATAAAGTGCTGTGGCCAGTGAAATGAAATGTACTGCCTGGCTTAAGCCAGACAAGACCATTCTAGGAACTAGTGATGTGACCAGCTTTCCCAGATGAATATAAGATTCATGGGCAGAGGTGGGGAAAGGGGTGGATATCTGCATAAGAATTGGTTACTATTAGGAAGGAGGAAAGAAGAAATAGATGCTGGATAGTCAATGAACAGATGCTCACTGTTATGTACAAAAGTGCATTATTGATAGCTTGTCTACATCAGAATGGTTTCTAAAATTATCTGATAGTTTCATATAAAAAATACTTCTTATCTATAAATCAGGTAGTCCTAATTTCCGTACACTTTTGTTAAACCTCAGTAAAACGGAACAAGTCAATTTTGCCTGCAGAGGGCGCTCCTTTATATGTGAAAAGAAAGAAGTCTCCAGTCAAAACTTTTTTTTTACTTGATGATATATGTATGCATGAGAAATTGTTGAATGTTTTTCTGCCGTTTTGAGTAAGCATTCGAAGATTAGGATAAGAGTGGGCTCTGTCATTTGCATCTATTTACAGAAATTAGAGATAAAGCATTTGTTATTCTTGTTGCTTTTTGAAATGGATTATACCACCAGAAAACTGTTTTCTTGACTTGCTGTTTAGCAATGCTTCTCATAAACTAGCAATAACTAAAAGATGTTAGAATGTTTAAAATCCACACCTTGAGAGTAGCCAAAAAAAGTTTGTAAATATGAAAAGTAATTTTAATCAGTAAACATTTATCTGAAAAATATATAGTTTAAAATTTGACATGCTAAATAATTTAAAAAGTACATGTGTCATATCGAATGTATTTTTCTCTTCTTAAACTAAGAAAATCATTTCAAATTTCTTTTCCTTCAATACATTTAACAAAAATATTTTTATATTTTCAAAATTTTGCATTGTTGTAAGTTCTACATTGTTTTCACTCGTGCATTTAATGAGATAGTATGATAGTGTAATCACTGGTGAGGCGCTGCTACAAAAAAAGGAAAAACCTCTGTGGTACATTTAGCTGCCTGCATACACTAACGGGTAATGTAAAGGGGTCTAACCTTAATCTGCCATGGATTAGAACTTCCAAATCATGTAACAGTGCTGAGAACCAAAGCAGAAGTTTTTATTTTTGAGGTTCCTAGTGCCACTTTCCTACCTGAGGAGGAGAGAAGTCTCTTAGAAAGTAGAATGGAATTACAAGTTTATATAGTCTGTTGTGAACAATTGTTGTACTATGAGCCATAAGTATTTGGAGTAAATGGAATAGTACAAAATATTAATAATGAGAATGTGAACCAAGGCCTTTTTAGGAAATAGCGTAATATTTGTCTCAAGTGAGGTTTGTCCAGTTTGTCTGAAGGCTTAGAGCAGTTTTCCAAATTTGAGTCACTTGCCTATCACATTTAGAGTGATTTGAGTGCTACCTGTGCAAATGTATGTAATAATTTTCATTAAATAAAATCTTAAGTGAATTAAAAAAAATTTTTTTTAATGTTTATTTATTTTTGAGACAGAGTGCAAATGCGGGGGGTGGCAGAGAGAGAGGGAGACACAGAATCTGAAGCAGGCTCCAGGCTCTAAGCTGTCAGCACAGAGCCCGAAGCAGGGCTCGAACTCAAAACGGTGAGATCTTGACCTGAGCTGAAGTCAGATGCTTAACCGACTGAGCCACCCAGGCGCCCCTTAAGTGAATTTAAAGAGAAACTTTTATACCTCATGAAAAATGGAAATGTTTTGCTCTTAATCTGTGTTTAAGTAAATAAATCTGTTCAGGTGGGTACCATCTAAAATGTTCACGCGTGCCATGATGGTATGCAGACTATGTGGTGTGCTGGTAGACTAGTTCTTGGATGAAGAGAGCCCTGGTACATAGTATTTGTTGAGTTCTGTGGTTTAAATTCTCCCACCTTGACTGGCTTCAGGCTGTCAGTGGATAATAATCATGCTTGCAGAACTCCTGAATATTTAACAGTTGGCTCTGGCTTGCCAATACAGGCTAGGTCCAGCACACCTCTGTGTGTATACTACATTTTGGAAAGCACTATATTAGAGGATAAGTGTTCAAAATTCAAATCAGTTTTATTTATTTCAGCCTTTGACATGGTTCATGATCCAGTGGCAGCTCTAGAGACCCTCTTAACCCTGGGATTTGAACGAGTATTGACCAGTGGATGTGACAGTTCGGCACTAGAAGGGCTACCCCTAATAAAGCGACTCATAGATCAGGTACACACAGTTTGTTTCCTTTCTTCCTAACTCTGTTGTGCTTGCTCCTGATGTTCTGTTGTTCAGCTAGGTTATGAAGCTATTACTGACTTAATGATTACCCTGTACAGAAAAGCAAGCAGGCAGAAATATACTTATATAATTTTTATTTCTTTCACATGAGCATTTTAGTGTTTAAGACTTTTGAAGTCAAATTGTAACCAGTGCTTAAGGTTTTGATCTAACTTGGATAACCACAGCCAATTTTATCTTTTCTCTGCCATTAGCATTACATTGTTTTAAGCCACATCATCTCACCATCAGCCTATGTATACTCAGGGGATCCCATAAAAAATTTGAAATAATTATCACGTGGAAATGAATTCTAAACCTAAAATTATATTCTTCTTTCACCTCTCCCTATCTATCAGGATAGGAGGAAATATGTTTTACCCTTGTATGAATTTCCATGATGAGTTAGCATCATTTGTAGAGCAGGCAAATTTGTAATTGTGGTATGTCTGTTTTTCTGACACCAGTCCAGAGCCATTTTGAGTTAGTGAGTATGGACTTTGAGACAAGAGAGTTCTGGATTTAAGACTCAGATACTTATTTGATTTGTAATGTTGAGTAGATTATTCATCCTCTGTTCCTTTATGTGTGCAATTGAGAAAAGTTTAATACTTCCTTTATAGGGTTGTTCTGATGATTGGTAGAGAGAAGATATGTAAGAGCCTTAGCATAGTGCTTGACATATAATAGATCTTACTACATGTTAGTTTATTATTATTACTTCTCCTGTTACTAATATTTTTTTGGTGTTCTGTATAGAAATCTAATTATGTTCACTTTCTTATAGCCATGAAAATAATTTTCAGAAATTTCATCTAAGGATCTGATGTGACTTTGCTAGTCTGGAACTTACTGATTTTACAAGTATTTATTAAGTATATATTAACTGCAGGGCATTTGTACTGTGGTGGTGACCTGTGTGTGTGTGTGTGTAGTCACTGCCCTTGGAGTTTGTGGCACAACAGGCACTTTTAATAGAACAAGCAATTGTAATAGAGTGCTATAAAAAAAGGTACTAAGTGGCACCTGGCTGGCTCAGTAGAGCGTGCCACTCAATCGGGATAGTGAGTTCAGGCCCCACGTTGGGGATAGAGTTTACTTAAAAAAATAATATTTTTTTTGAGAGAGGGAAAGAGCATGCGCAGAGCAGGGAGTGGGCAGAGGGAGAGGGAGAAAGAGAATCTTAAGCAGGCTCCATGCCCAACTTCAATCTCGCAACTGTGAGATCATGACCTAAGCTGAAATCAAGAGTCAGACATTTGGGGGTGCCTGAGTGGCTCAGTCAAGTAAGCTTCTGACTTTGACCCAAGTCATGATCTCACAGGTGGTGGGTTTGAGCCCCACATCAGGCTCTGTTTTGACAGCTCGGAGCCTGGAGCCTGCTTCGGATTCTGTGTCTCCCTCTCTCTCTGCCCCTCCCCTGCTTGCACTCTGTCTCTGTCTCTGACTCTCTCTCTCTCTCTCTCTAAAATAAATATTAAAAAAAAATTTTAAGAAGCAGACATTTGACTGACTGAGTCACCCAGGTGCCCACCCACTCTTTTTTTTTTTTTTTTTTTAATTTTTAAAGGTACAAAGGGGCACATTTGAGAGGAATTAACCCCAGTTTTGGGCATGGAGTTGGCAGTAGTTAGCTCCCAGAAGAAGAGTCACACACACATTCATTTGAGCAATGATTACAAGTTATCTGTGTAAAAGGAGGTAAGGGGAATAGGTGAATGCCTCATGCAGAAGAAATAGTGTATACAAAGACCAGGAAAGAATAACTTACTAAGATATTGAAGAAACCAGAATATTGGATGTAAAGAGAAGAATGCTGTCCAGAGCCTTGAAAACTGTTGAGGAGTGTGTATTTTATCGTTGGGGCAGTGGGAAAGTCTGAAGGGTTTTAAAATAGAAGAATTGAATTAATTTTTAAATGTTTTCTCACTGTGGAGTAGAGAATAATGTAGATATAATTGCCATAGTCATGTCTTGCATTTCATTATCACTGTGTTGCAAATGTAATTTGTAGTTTAATCATTGGTTGGCAGGAAGCATGGAGTTAAATATTCTCATACGCTAACTTTACTTCTTTTTTATAAAAGAAAAATTCCATGTATTTAGGGTATACATGATATTTCAATATTAATATATATATAGTGAAATAGTTACAGTCAAGCTAATTAACATATGCATCTCATGTAGTTACATTGTGTGTGTGTGTGTGTGGTGAGAGCACCTGAAATATTACCCTCTTAGCAAATTTTTAGAATTCAATGAAGTATTCACTATAGTCTCATTGTGCATTAGATCTGTAGATTTGCTCATCCTGCATAATTGCAACTTTGTACCCTTTGACCAGCATCTCCCTGTTTTCCCCACCTCCTCACTAGATAGCAATGTTCTACTCTCTGTTTCTATGTATTGGACTTTTTTTTAGATTTCACATATAAGTGAGATAACGCTAACTTTACTTTTTGAAGCAGTTATCTAGCAGTATAATATACTGGTTAAAGCCTAGGTTTGGGGATTAGAAAGTCTGTGTTTAAATCCTAGCTTTGCCATTTATTAACAGTAAGCCTGGGCAAACTACCTAACCATTCTAAACTTCAGTTTCTTCATCTACAACATTAGCATTTTAATAGCACCTACCTCCTACCTCCTAGAATAGTTGTGGATTACTTCAGATAATAGCACAAAGTCTGATACTTAGTAAGTGCTTTATGTTGTTAAGCCACTTTGATAGCTTTAGGTAAGCATACAGTTCTCAGTAATCTTATGGAAACCCCCCTCCCCAAAGTGGCAGAATTCATTTAATTTGTCCATGTTTTGAAAAGCTTTCACTTGGAAGAAACAGTTAAACGTGACTTTTTTTGGGGGGGGGGTGACTGGGTGACACAGTCGGTTAAACATCTGACTTCAGCTGGGGTCCTGATCTCATGGTTTGTTAAGTTCAAGCCCTGCATCAGGCTCTCTGCTATCAGTGCAGAGCCTGCTTTAGATCCACTGTCTCCCTCTCTCTCTCTGCCCCACTCCCGCTCTCTCTTTCTCTCTCAAAAATAAACATTTTTTTAAATGACTTTTTTTCCTAGAATCGTTTCAGCTTTCTAGATAGTAAACATTTTGTTTATGGATGCTTTTGCACATTTGAGAATACTAAATGGCCTTGTTCCACTTATTTCTCTTAACAATTATTAAATTCTGTGCGATAGCCCCATCCCCCTTTTATTCTGTTTCATTACCTTGCTTTATGGTTTTTTCATTGTACTTACAGCTACCTGAAATTTTATTACATAAATATACCTATATGTTGTCTCTCTTCCTTGAACATGAAAGCTCCACAAGAGTAGGAACATTATCTTGTTTACTGTGTCAGGGAGGAAAAACTATTTCTCTGCCTTCTTAGGTTTTATGTTTGAGGGCCTGTGAATTAAACTGACAAAACACAGATTAGCAGGAGGAAAAAAGATTTTAATCACTTATGTATATATATTGGAGTTCACAAAGAAATGTGACTAAAGGAGGTGCTTAGAATTTGGGTCTTACACACCATCTTAATAGGTGAAGAGGAGGTAGAGGGAGGGGCACTTAGGAATTTAGAAGTGGAAGGAGGAAAAGCATTTGTGGGGTGGGAGGAAAGACTTTTTGGAAAGATAAATAGGTGGACCCTAATGAGAATAGATTGAAGATATGAAAGTTTAATGACAATGTCTTGTTTAGGTATGGTGCTGATGAATTGCTCCCAGAGGGGAATTTTGACCATTGAGTTCTTTTTGAGTTCTTTTGGGAGGCTCTGCTTTTAGGGCAGATAAGGAATTTCAGGAACTCAAATGCCTTCAACTCAAAATGACTTTTATGCCACAGTGGCATATGCTGGGTCATTTCAACCATAATATTCTCTATATCCAGAACAGTGCCTGATAACATGGTAGGCACTTAATAAGTATTTGTTGGATAGATGGATGAGTTAGTAAAGTGACATTGATAAACACTTTCATGATAGATCAATTTGATCAGGGTTTAAAAAATTTATCAGAAGAGGGGACGCCTGGGTGGCTCAATCATTTTAGCATCCAACTCTTGATTTTGGTTCAGGTCATGATCCCAGGGCCATGGGATTCAGCCCCAGGTTGGGCTGTATGCTGAGCATGGAGCCTGCTAGGGATTTTCTCTCTCTCCTTCTGCCCCTCTCCTCTGCTCACGTGCTCTTTCTCTCTAAAATCAAAAATTAAAAAAAAAAAAGTTGGTCAGAAGGAGGTTCTCTGAAAAGTCTACAAAGTGTCAGTCTACAGATTTCACAGTATGTATACATACAAGCTTTTTTGGTAACTTTGGAGCTGTCTTTCCAAAATGACATATAATTCAGATGTCATGAAAAATTATATGCTTTTTCAGTGACATATATGCCAGAAGCTGGACTTGGAGGTCACTTTTGATTATTTTACTGAGGCCCTGATACTTAAATACTAGTCTGGGGGGTTCTAATTTCCTCATTATAGAGCACAAGTTGTTGTTGACTCATATCTGCAAAAGAGATTTTTTTTTTTTTTGCACCTTATCGTATTGTCATTAACTAATTTAACAGTCTCTGTTTCCCTTTCTGCACCAGCATATAATTTTTTAAGTTTATTTATTTATTTTGAGAAACAGAGAGAGAGACAGTGTGAGCAGGGGAGGGGCAGAGAGAGAGGGAAAGAGGATCCCAAGCAGGCTCCACTGACCACATGGAGCCTGAGGCAGGGCTCAATCTCATGAACCATGAGATCATGACCTGAGCCAAAATCAAGAGCCGGACACTTAACTGGCTGAGCCGCCCAGACACCTCTAGCATATCATTTTTTTTCTTTTTAATATTTTTAAAAATATATACTTTATTGACAAATTGGCTACCATGCAGTGTGTACAGTGTGCTCTTGGTTCGGGGGGTAGATTCCCATGATTCATTGCTTACATACAGCATCCAGTACTCATCCCAACAAGTGCCCTCCTCAATGCCCATCACCCATTTTCCCCTCTCCCCTACCCCAGCCCAGCATCAACCCTCAGTTTGTTCTCTGTATTTAAGAGTCTCTTCTGGTTTGCCTCCCTCCCTCTCTGTTGGTAACAACTTTTTTCCCCTGCCCTTCCCTCATGGTCTTCTGTTAAGTTTCTCAAGTTCCACATGTGAGGAAAAACATATGATATCTGTCTTTCTCTGACTGACTTCATTTAACATAATACCCTCCAGTTCCATCCATGTTGATGCAAATGATGGGATTTCATTCTTTCTCATTGCCAAGTAGTATTCCATTGTATATATAAACCACATCTTCTTTATCCATTCATCAGTTGATGGACATTTAGGCTCTTTCCAAAATTTGGCTATTGTTCAAAGTGCTGCTATAAACATTGGGGTACATGTGCCCCTATGAATCAGCACTCCTGTATCCTTTGGATAAATTCCTAGTAGTGCTATTGCTGGGTCGTAGGGTAGTTCTATTTTTAATTTTTTGAGGAACCTCCACACTTTTCCAGAGTGGCTGCACCAGTTTGCATTCCCACCAACAGTGCAAGAGGGTTCCCCGTTTCTCCACATCCGCACCAGCATCTATTGTTTCCTGAGTTGTTAATATTAGCCACTCTGACTGGTGTGAGGTGGTATCTCAGTGTGGTTTTGATTTGTATTTCCTGGGTGATGAGTGATGTTGAACATCTTTTCCTGTGTCTGTTGGTCATCTGGATGTCTTCTTTGGAAAAGTGTCTATTCATGTCTTTTGCCCATTTCTTCACTGGGTTGTTTTTCAGGTGTTGAGTTTGGTAAATTCTTTATAAATTTTGGATATTAACCCTTTATCTGATATGTCATTTGCAAATATCTTTTCCCATTCCATCGGTTGGTTGCCTTTTAGTTTTGTTGTTTCCTTTGCAGTGCAGAAACTTTTTATCTTGATGCGGTCCCAATAGGTCATTTTTGCTTTTAATTCCCTTGCCTCTGGAGACATGTTGAGTAAGAAATTGCTGTGGTTGAGGCCAAAGAAAATTGCTGCCTGTTTTCTCCTCTAGGGTTTTGATGGTTTCCTGTCTCCCATTTAAGTCCATTAAGTCCATTTTCATCCATTTTGGGTTTATTTTTGTGTATGGTGTAAGAAAGTGATCTAGTTTCATTCTTCTACGTGTTGCTGTCCAGTTCTCCCAGCACCATTTACTTAAAGAGACTGTCTTTTTTCCATTGGATACTCTTTCCTGCTTTGTCAAAGATTAGTTCACCATACATTTGTGGGTCCAATTCTGGGTTCTCTATTCTATTCCATTGGTCTATGTGTCTGTTTTTGTGCCAATACCATACTGTCTTGGTGATTACAGCTTTGTAGTAGAGGCTAATTGCCTCCCACTTTGGTTTTCTTTTTCAACATTACTTTGGCTCTTTGGGGTCTTTTGTGGTTCCATACAAATTTTAGGATTGTTTGTTCTAGCTTTGAGAAGAATGCTGGCG